ATATCCTGATGGCAGTCTTAGAGGAAGGAAGGTTTAGGATCATCCAAATAGTTGAGCAACTCAAAAATTAAACTAGTATGTTATGATACAATATGCCACCACTGTACGTTGTGTAAGATAAAGTAATTTCAATTAAACATTTGATTTTGGATCATGCAAAGGGTTTCCAGATCTCCTTATAATGTGTTGTAGGCAGGACTGGTTTTATTTCTATCCATAATTTTCCCTGTCTTTTCATTCTTTTAAATTTAAAATGATGTGATACAGGTTTATAGTTGGGTGCTGACTTGCTCCAGGAATGGACTCAGAAGAGAATATATCTTTCTCCTAGGAGAAGCTAGGAGATGATTAAATTTGTGGGGCAGTTATTGTTCAGTGTGTGTATGCTGAACTCAGTTTTGTGATGCTGAAAGTGCTGTACGTACTCAGTTGAATGAATCCTAGCTAACTTGTCTCAGCAGTCCTGTTTTTTGTAATAGTTGTTAAATTATTGTCTATAATGTCTTGAAGTAAAATATTTCATACTGAACATTTAAAATATTAAGTGTACTTTTAATATAAACACTTGGCTAAATATTAGTTAAGACTAGTTTAATATTTACTTTTGACTAATATAGCTATGGATCTGAATTAAGTAACTGATTGCCTGTAACTGATAGGAGTTTTGAATAAAAGCTCTTACAAGTTTATAGGCTGTTCTGAGAGCTAGGATGGAAAAGTACAAAGGCATTTAATTTTTTTCTTTTTTTAGAACTCAGTCATTTACTATTTAAGGATAAATAAGTATGATGAGGCAGAATATACAAAAAATTGCTTTGGGTCAGGGGGCATGTGGGTGGCTCAGTCAGTTAAGCATCCGACTGTTGGTTTTCTGCTCAGGTCATGATCTCAGGGTCATGAGATCAAGCTCCTCTTCAGGCTCCATGCTGGGCGTGGAGCCTGCTTAAGATTCTTTCTCTCCCTCTACCCTTCCTCCCCTAAAAATTGCTTTGTGACTTAGGAAGTATTACTTATTTTGAATGTCTTGTTTAATACTCCATCTGCTCCTTGAGGGGCAGGACTGATTTTACCCGTGATAACCTCAGCAGGTCTGACACCCGGATGGTATAGGATAGAGATTGGATGAATGTCTCGCTGCTGTTTTGTGATCTTGTTTGAAGATAGTTGTACTGAAAGGTATCACAGTGGCGGAGATGCAGGGGTAAGACTTCTTGTATACCTCTGAAAATGAGTGATGTCTAGTATCTGAATGTCTGGTCTTCACCTGGGACAGATGAAGAGTCCATCACATTACAGAGGACCCACCTTAGCTGTGTAAGCAAACAGACCAAAATGGAGCAGTTCCACAAAGCCACAGGGAGTCCACTAAGGAGGTAGTCTGATTTCACTCTTTGGCACACAGGCTTTTATTTATTTATTTTTTTTTTTTTTAAAGATTTTATTTATTTATTCATGAGAGACAGAGAGAGGGAGAGAGAGAGAGAGAGAGAGAGAAGCAGAGGGAGAAGCAGGCTCCCAAGGAGCAGGGAGCCCGATGCGGGACTCAATCCCAGGACCCTGGGATCATGACCTGAGCCGAAGGCAGACGCTTAACCATCTGAGCCACCCAGGCGCCCTGGCACACAGGCTTTTAATTTAAGGTGTTTTGAAAGTGAAGACTGACTTTTTCAGGCAAGGAGTGTCTTAGTGTTTTCTTTTCATCGTCCAATCTCCTGTTCTTTTCAGGTGTCTTTTTGAAATTAGAATTTTAAAAGGGTCATATGCTAGAATTAAGTGTCTTTGAAAGTGGATAAACTCAAATCTTTGTAGACTCTATGTAGTTTTATTGCAACTGGGACTGAAACCTCTAGTATAGATTGCATTAAATTTACAAATCTTTTTTCTTTAATGCTACCTTTGTATGTTTCTCTTCACTAACTGAACTCTGCAAGGCATGGGCCAACCTTATTTCCATCTGTCTATTCCTACTCTCAGCATAGAGATTTGTCTGCCCTAGCAACACACGTGGGCAACAATAAGGTTCTTTCTAGGAATAATGTAAGAGCTAACTGAAGTAGGGCTACAGTTGGAATAATACTTCTAAATTTGAAGTTTACCCCTTTCTCTTAAAAAATGTTACTCTTGATTCCAGAAATTGATATAGTATAACGCTGTGATCAGTGGAATAAAAAAAAAAATTGCAATTTGAACAGATAAAACTTTTCTGCTCTACTTGTTGGGCATTTTTTGTGATGATTTTTAAAAAATGTACCAGCAATATATATTTATAAGAACATATATAGACAGTAACTTCTGTCATTTTGGTTTGTATTTTTCTTTGCCCTGGAATGTATTATTAGGTAATGCTGAAGCATCACTGATCACTGCTTTAAGTTGAGACATTGATGGCCTTAGCTTATCAGAACCAAGCATTGTTGAAAACCTATGCATCTTAGGTACTTCAGCACCAGTGTTTGAATGTTGAACTGAAAGGTATATTAGAGGGAAAAAAAAGACTTAACTCTGTTTTCTTTGTCAGTCTGTTTCACTTGGAGTCCACCTAGCACATTTCATTTTGGGAAATCCTGTTCATGAAATAGTGACGAATTGTTTTCCTTACAAACAGATATCCATGATTGGTCAAATTATGTTTTAATTTCTTATAATTCTATAATGGTGTGGGATTGGCTTTGTTTTGTTTCTTTTTGAGAGAGAGTGCGCACATGTGAGAATGGGACAGGTGCAGAGAGAGAGAGAGAGAGAGAGAATCCCAAGCAGGCTCCAGGAGCCCAGTGGAACCTGACCTGTGAGGCTCATTCTCATGACCCTGAGATCATGACCTGAGCCAAAATCAAGTCAGTGCTTAACCGACTGAGCTACCCAGGCGCCCCACTTGTTTTGTTTTTTTAAAATCATTCAGTTCAACAGGCTTTCAAAATTGACTATGATTAATGTCTACTATGTGTGCCAGACACATTGCTACACATTGCTGTGGGTCAGGATAAAATTGAGCAAAATATCCTCCAGAGCATGAATCACCTAATGTACCATAGTAGTAGCATCTAGACAAGATGTCCTGAGCCAGAATCATCAAGAGTATTTACCTCTATCATTCCGAACATTCAGGTTATTAATTGTACTCCCTGAGTGAATTTTGTGGGAGAGTACCTTTTTCTTTCTATGAAGATAACTGTTACTCTTCTTCTGTGGTTACACATTTCGTTAAGTGGAAGTATTGCTGATCCAGATTCCTCAGAGAACCTTTGGTTCTTCCTTTCTCCTCATCCCTGTGTCCAGCTGGTCACACTTTGGAACCCCTGTACTTCTCTCCCTGACTTCCATGCCACACACCAGGTTTTGTTCGTCCATTAGATCCCCTGCAACATCCTCCTACCTCAGCTCTTACTCCAGTCCATTTTCTGTCCAGTCTCTTCTACATATCAGAGCCAGGATGGTCTTTATACAGTGTCAGTCTGGTCATTCTGCTACCCGCTTAAAACCTGTCAGTATATTTTCTCTAAGTGATGCTGTCAGGGCCCCGCAGAACAGGGTTTTTGTTTGTGTTGTGAGCCTTACTTCCATGTTTTGTTTCTCTTTCTTCATCCAGCCTTTCCACTATTACTGCTCACTGGATGCCTTCCCTTCCCTGCCTTCCTCCCACAAGCGTTTGTGTTCTCCCTCTCCTCATCCATCCTTCCAGGTCTAAACACCAGTGAGTGATACTTTCTTCAAGATGTATTCCCAGACTACTCAATTTGGTTAGGGTGTCCTCTGTGTGAGTCATTGGAAAATTGTTATTACTTCCTTGTTTGTCTTTGTTCTTCTCTATGACAGAAGCTTGATGTGCTTAGTCACCACTTTTTCCACAACTTAGGGCAGGAGCAATTCCCCTCACACAGTAGCCTGCTCAGGTGTTTGTTAACAATTTGTGACTTTTAAATATCCCATGAACTGTGCATCATAAAGAGACTGATGATGTAGCGGGACAGTGAACACAGGCACATAATGTTAGATAGCCCTTTACTGAATGATGTCAGTCTATACTTTTTAAAATAAGGGACCAAGAAAGTACACAGTCTGTGGATCAGATCTGGCCCACTAGCCTATAAGGACCACAAGCTAAGAAAGGTGGTTGTGTTGCTTTTAATGCTTGAAAAGAAGTCCAAAGAGAAATATTTTATGATCCAACTTTATCATATGAAATCCAAATTTCAGCATCCATAAATAAAATTTTATTGGAACATGGCCAGACTCATTTGTCTACATCTCGTTTGTTGCTGTTTTTGTGCTACAACCATAGAGTTGAGTGGTTTTAACAGAAACTGTGTATGGGTTGCAAAGCCTAACATATTTACTGCCTGACTCTGTACAAAAAATGTTTGCTGACTTTTTTAAATAATTTCTGTGACATGAAAACAGATAAGTTATAATGAGAACATATTTAAGTTAGGTCTCCGTTTCCTTTTTTCCCTCCCTCTAAATTCAAGATTTAAGTATGTCCACTAAGAGAATATCATTTGGGTTTTGAAAACTGTATTCCCACCTCTCTGCTTTACACGTAGCTAGATCTTTTTGAAACTTGAGCGTTGCAGATTAGATGTTGAGAAAACAGAGACTTCAAATCCTCTCAAATTAGGTAGATAAAACCAGTGTAGATGGCTCATCCCTTACCCAGTGGTCTAAAATCATTCTTTTCCTAAATAATATTCTGATTCCTAAAATGTACTTTTTTTTTTTTTTACAATTGAGAAAGAGGAAACAACTTTTGATGCTATTTGATACAGTCATATAAAATACGATGCTAAAGCCCTTTTATAAATTTTGAATCCTTTTTGCAAATATGTTATCTTGCAGAAAAATAGACCAGCCATGTTTTGGTGGTATAATCTATCATTAGGCTATATAGAACCTTCATTTTACATCATTTATAATAAAATCAAATGGTTTTTACAACATTGTTTACATTTTGTTTTAAAATATTTTATTGAGAAAATACTTAATTAACTTTGTTTTATTTTTAGGGTTATATCCTGTGTTGTGACCTCATGGTTTAAGTGGGAATAAAGATGAGTATAAGCAGTGATGAGGTCAACTTCTTGGTATATAGATACTTGCAAGAGTCAGGTGAGTACTTTCATAAAGTAAATAGGCCTCAAATTATTTTAATATTCTCAAAATAACCTTTTATGCATTTGAAATTTGTATCAGTCCAAACTGTTGAACTTTGTATGTTTCCTTAATGTCTGGACTGCCATTTTAAAGCTATGTGTTACTGCATGGTTTAACTCTCTGACTCTTTCAAATATGTTGGAATCATCTCAGGCAAATATTTGTTAAGTGGTTTGGCTTTCAGTGTTCAAAGACAATTTTTTATAAGTTGTTATGAAATGAGATTGCACACGGTCAGTAGGAACATATAAACTTTCAGATAGCACCAATTTGATAATGTATATTCAGAATCCTCAGCTAAATGTTATTGAAACTAAATTAGCCATATTTTTTCAGAATGTTTTCATAATCATTATCCCTATCGATTTAGTTTATCCTTGACCTGAATTCTTACTAATGTGTTCATTGGCAGGTGATTAATAAATTAAATCATTGGAGGTCATTTGTAATAAATATTAAATAAATCAGTGTTCATTTTTAAACAGATTAAGAGGTGTCCTAAAACAGAAGGAAAGCTACAAGGGAAAATGTGGGATAGGTTAAGCAGGAAAATTTAAGAGTTTCTACTTGGGTTGGACAGGGCACAGGACCTGTGAAAGATTGACAGCACTGGCGAGTGCAGCTTATTAGCATGATATGGAACCATTTGGTAGTCGAAAATAAGCTGGAAAGATTGAATTTTAGAAATCATAACTTAAAGTTGGGACGTTGTAGTAGTAAGGTGAGGCATAGTGTATGTGTAAAAGGGTAACTGTGGTTGGCGCATGTGAGGGAGGACAGAAGGCCAGGAGCAGGAATTGAGCCCTCAGTTTTGATTTTGAAACGATAGTTATTCTCGTGGTAGGGCTTGGTCATTGTCCTCTCCTATGCAGGGAGTGCAGACATGGCCTTAGATCTTAGATGCCCCTGCTCGCTGAGCTGTTGCCAGCTTCACTCCAGTTCTGGGAGTTTCCTATTCCCAGGCACCATCATTGCTTCTCTCTGGCCTGAAACAGCTGAGAAAATGATGTCTAATGAGGGCAGAAAGGGAGAAAGAAAAGAAACTAAAAGTAACCAACTAAGGCAGAATAATTTGTTCTGAAGCTTCGAAATGAATAGATCTTGTTTTGTTTTTTCCTTTTTCAACTAGTCAGCTGATATTGAAGGCAGATCCTAAGACAATATCCATTGAATATTTTGAGCAAGATTAAAATGATTAAGGAAGTGGAAAAAGTAATGACCTGACCTAGTGATTATTACATATATAAGACAGATGCACATGCCTTGATATTGTTACTTGGTAACTTTGGCCAAAATTGAAAGAATTGTTGGGTCAGAACAAACTCCTGCTTTCTATTTTCTATGCCTTTGAAACTGACCACCATTTAAGCCAGAGCGTTGGGACCTCGGACACTAAAGTAGAAAACGTTGTGAAGGGCCAATAGATGAGAAATGTATGTAATGGCTTGTAGGTGTATTGTAAAGGCAACTGCTTAGGTTGAATCATAAGAAACTGCTGTTTCTGGAGATAAGAAACAGGTGGAATAGCTCAGCAGCATCCTGTAGCTCAGCCTATACTGAGATGAAGTGGGGCAAGGTGAAGTTAGAGATGTTAATGAACACTCAGATTTTTTTTAGCAAACAGAAGTCCACAAATTGGTGTTTTATGTTGCTACAGAAAAAATACAGCAAGTGAAAGGGGCAGTAAAATAATACTCTGGATTAATTTCTGAAAGAGTATCCAGTGGTTAAATATTACCAGAAGTCTTCTTGAAGTTGCTAATGTTCTCAGAGAAAATCCTTTGAAATTCCACATTTTAAGGTGTTCCATGTTGCAAGGATTATATATTAAGAAAAAAACTTTGTGTGGTAGACTGCTGCTTATCATAGTAAGTCCTTCATAATTTTTTACTGTGTTCTTAGTTGTGCTTTGTGTATTTAAAAAGGTTTATACTTTACGGTGTATCCGTAATGAAGTACAATGTTAAGCCACATCTCTGAAAATGTGAACACCAGTCCCTTTATTAAATTTGTAACTTGCCATAAATTTAAGAACCGCCTATACCAGAGTTCTAAAGTTTGATCCTCTGACCACCTGCATCAGAATCATTTAGAGAACGGCGAGTGGGGCCCAGGAATCTGCATTTTACAAATGCCCCAGGTGATTCTTAGGCATAATAAAGTTTGAAAGCCACTGGTCCCTATTAGTTGTAGGACAATTAGAACTTGACAAGAAAGTTGACAACAGGTATGTAGCATGTTCACAATATCTTGAAAGAAAAATTCTGTTTAGTAGCTCTTCGAGATAAAGTAGAAAGCATGAAGCGTACATATTGAGATTTGGAGTGTGAGAATACCTCCTACTAAAACATTAGGGAGGTGCCACTAAAAGAGGTGTATTTGTATTTATAGGCAGGATTTTGTAGGAATGATGAAGCACGTTTATATCATAAAGGATAACCATGAGACATTCATTTGAAGTTTCTTCCAGAAGTAGGAGATGGGAAAAAGTTTAGGAAATTGATCGTTCTGTCAGCTCAGACCAGGTTTCAGATAGAGCTCAGAATCTTGCCCATCTCAGCACTTGGTGACTTATTCCGAAAGCTATTTCTTGGTTCTGATCTCTAATTATACATAAAAATGGCCATTTTTGCAAGTGATTTGATTTTGGAATCCAGTAATTCCTTTTCTGGGTGTATTTTGGTGTATTTTGGAGTACTGAATTGGTTTAGGAGCTAGGTAGGAAGAAAAGTAATCACGACAAAGAAAGTATTTGTGAAAAGACCTTCACAGGACTGGTTTTTAAAAACCACCACTAAGGAAAGTAAAATTTTTTCATGCTTGTCTCATTATCTAAAAGCTCTCCCGCAGAAAGTCCAAAAAAACACCTTATGAAAGTTTGTTCTGTTTTGATAAATGTATAATTTAGAAATAATGTTTTCCAGTAGGAACTTCTAATATTTGTTCTCTGTAAACACTGTTTAATGTTGACTGGACTATGGTATCCATCTCCAGCGAGAATAAAATCCCTCAAATTGTTTTACATACTTTATACTATGAGATGACCATCCTATTACGACTGTTGTCAGCACTAGAATATATTATATATTAAAAGCCCATCTCCTCTCCCCAGATTATATAACTTTTGATTTTTTTTCTTTATCCATAAAACTTGTTGCTTGTTGAAAAGGGATTATATTGTGATATTCAGCCTCAAAATGTTTTATAGGCTTCTGTTTGAAATAAGTCATCCTCCCCTACTCTTTTAAACTAATTAAGAGGAAAGTATATATTATTGTAAGATGTCTTTTTATTTTTCTCAGTTCTGTCTCTAACAAGTTACTTTGGTCATCACCATTTTGTACTTCAATGAACTAGACTTAGGCTTTCCTAGTCAACAAAAATTTTCTAGGAAAGGAAATTTTTTTCTCTTTTGAGAAGACTTGAAAATTGAGTGTATTTGACAGTGTAGTACCGTAAGTAATGATTGACTTGATTATTCAGTATGTTTCATTTAATTAGTGTTCACCCGAGGGCATTAATAGTTTGATTGCCCTAATAACTCACATCTAGCAACCATATGCAGAATAAGCACTAAGGGGTACAGCTAAGTCGTATGGAACAGAACTTGATACAGTGTTAATTTTAAAAGATTTAAGGTGGTTTGGACTTTTTTTCTCCCCCGTTGCATTGAGTCTTCTCTAGCTATTCCCAGGTTTGGTGTATTTTTTCTAGAGAAATTGTACCGGCAATTATTTGTGAACTTGTGCCAACTTTTTTCTTGTTGCTTTGTGTAAGATGTAATTTTATTTTGCTTTAAATGTGTATTTTGTTTGGGGGAGAAGTCTTGATTCTAGATAAAACTGTCATCTATGATATGTTTAAAAGCTCAGTAGCATTTCGGTGAATGGTGTACTTAATATTGGACGCTGTGAAACAACAGTTGCATTTTATGATGGAAGACTAACTGGAAAATGCAGGAACAGTATGTCCTTATTACTGAGCTATTTTCTAGATTGTGATTCTGAATGCTATCATTTTTTAAAATCCTCATGTTTTTAGAACTGAGGAGGTTCATCTTGCCATACAGTCTTGGTTTATGAAAAGGTGATGATGTATGTAAGCTTAAAGCATTTGGTTCATGAAAGATCAGCTTGTCTCTCCCACCACCCACCTTGCTCCACTGTTCACTAACTCTTTCAAGGGGATATTCAGTCTCGCTGGTTGTAGGCCTTGCACTACTCCACTTTTTCTGAGAGGGTGCTTCCTTCAGATGTTCTGTTACTTGTTTATAAGAGCATACACACTTAATTTAGAAATCTACACATACGTAGTAGGCACAAACTAACCCGAATGTTTATGTATAACGTTCAGGTTCTGATCTGTAACACCAAAGAGCCTATTTGTTGTTTTTTGTTTTGTTTCTGTTTTTTCACTTAATGATTTGGTATTAACCCCTACAGTGGCTAAGAAAATGTCAGCAATCAAATGACAGTGTAGTTTCTCTTGACTCAGATAAAGGTAAGAGACTTGAACAATGAACTGAATGGAGTCAGGTTAAACTGGCTCTCAGTGCCTCTAGCCATGAAGGCCTGGAGTGAGGAGAGTTCAGGATTGGGTATGTCCACTTCTAGTCTTTCTTTTCATTTTTATGAGTAATTGGTTGGCTACAGAAATGCAGGTTAAATATACATACAGTTTGCTTTGTAATCAAATAAAATATGCAGTAACATGGATTTGTCACATAGTTCTTGTACACATGACTAATGATAAACAGCAAGTACTTGTCAAAAATAATGGTAAATTTTATACTTCCAAATCAGTTTTTCTCTTTTATAAGCTGAATGACTATTGTTTTTGCTGATAGAGGAAAATTCCTATTTACACATTACTGCTGACATGCTTGTTAAAAGACTAATGTCATTTAATAATTACCAAATAGAGAACTTGTTCGGTCTTATACTAGTAGTCTTCTT